AAAGTGAAAAGTGAAGATCCTCTTTGACTTGTAACAACAGAACTTTTAAACGTCACAGTTTTAGAGTTTGATCCATTTCTTGGTTCAGACTAGTGTTGGAGGCCAGGATTTAATTTGTTCCGATTCACATTTCAGGATTTAAACTGAGAGAAGTTTATTTTCTGTTGATGAACTTAACTCTTCATGATGACTACTTTATATATATATTTTTTTGTTTTCCAGTCTCATCATCTGGTAAACCATTCATTCTGGTTCTGATGCATCACACCAGAGACCCGGACTATTCCACTGCAGGATGTGACTGCTTAGAAATGCTGAAAAATGTGTTTTATGTCCATGTTTTTTACCATGAGACTGAAAAAGGACTGCTGAGATGTAATCAAAATGCCATGGCAATCAAGGACATTGAAAAAAATCTGCAAACCTACGAGCAATAGATAACGTTTGCTTTTTGTGGTATATCAGTCTTGTTTTAATTATTTTCTTATCTCAAATACATTTCTGCAGATACCATAATTGCATGTCATCAATTACTAATGGAATAAGGAGGAAAAACTTAGAATTACTGAGTTTCTGACTGCAAACAAATAATTTTTCTTCCAGTTGTTTTCAGTTCTGTTTTTTTCTGAATATGTTTCACTCTTACAGAATGTATTTTACAGCAAACTACAAGTTTTTTTTATTTCACCTAAGTTTCAGGGCTGAAACTAATCGGTAAAAATAAAAGAAAACAATAACAGAAGACAAACAGATGTACAGGACATTTTCTGTTCTGGGTTTGTTCAACAGTCAACTTCATGCTGTAAGACTGCAGTCAGTTTTTTTCTCAACATCATACTGAGAAACTTTGAATGTTATGCAGATTAAGGAAATAGAAAAGGTGGAAATAAATGTATTTCTATCAGATTAAGAGGATGAGATCTGATTGTATGAATTTTCATTGCAGATGTTGTTACTGGAACATATCACCAATAAGTGTCATGTTTAATGTTCATTGGTTTGATTTCTACACCTTCACTGTGAGACAAAAACATCACAGAATAAAACTGAAGAATCTGCTGTTTCATTT